GCTGGCGGCGAGGGGGGCGGGGGGGGCTGGTGCAGGGGGTCTCCCCCAAATCCTGCCTGGCTCTGCTTTCTGTCTCCACGCGGGAGATTGTCCCATCCTGGGGTTTTAGTGGGAAATGGGAACACCGGGTGGCTTTAATGCCTCTGTGGCATGGAGCATCGCAGAGCCCATCGCTGCACTGATGGAAGAGGAGGAGGAGGAGGAGAAAGAGGAGAAGGAGGAAAGATGCCTGTCATCCCCCCTGTCTGGTCCCATGAGGCTCCCCCAAAACTAGCCTTGCTCTGGAGTGTGTACAAACCTGCCGGCGGCACCAGCCTAGGGCTGCCAAGTGACGGAGTCCCACATGCCGACTCGCTCCTGCCTGTCCCCAAATTCTATCCTTGCCTCGTGTGTTCCCCCCAGCCACCCCACCCAGGGGCAATGCCTATGGCAGGGGGGAGCAGCAAGGGAGCAGGGCCGTCCCTGATAACGCCGTCCCAGCGGATGCGGAGCAGATAGGGTTTCCGATGGTTATCGGCCGGTGCAGAACAGAGACACTGACCTCTTTGTTCCAGGGAGAACAAGGAAGGGCTCGCCACAGGGGCTGGGGCCGCTGAGGGGAGTCGGGGCGGACGCCCTGGGGTGCTGGGGAGCATCCTTGGGGTGCTGTGGGGTGCTCGGACCCTGCGGGGGCCTCCCCCCATTGAGGGGTACCCACAGGTCCCCCCCATGCATGGAGCAAATCGGCAAAAACTCCGCAGAGACCCTCCTCTCCCTCTCTCGGCCCCAGCAATGGGACACGGAGGTGCCACCGCGGTCCCTGAGGGAGCCGAGCCCGTGTGCCACCAGCAGCCCCCGTCCCCGCGTCCCATGCAAGGGGGTCCCTAACCCCCCAAGCCCCGTTTCCCACCCGCTCTCCGCAAGGGCAGGCGAGTTCCCGCAGCAGCAGCAGCAGTGGCGGGCGGGCGCTGCGTGTGCACCCGCGTGGCGTGCACACGCATGGGCGGGGGCGTGCACACGCGTGTGCGAGCGCCTGCATGGGCGCGCGCAGGGGGTTTATCACGCTGCCGGCACTCGGCTCCTGGCGGGGATAAGGCCTCAGCCGCCTGCGCCTGTCAGGCTGAGTTGGAGGGTTTAGAAATATTGGGACGAATAATTAGATTTCATATCGTTACCGCGGCAGCCATCGGAGGATCAGGCAGATTAATTTCCCCCCCCACACCCCCTCCTCCTTCCTTTCTGCTCATTAATATTCATTAGAGATGCGGGAAGGCAGAGCCGGGCACGGCTTAGTGGGGAGCACCGCAACCCCACGCTGACCCCAGGCCGTTTCGGGGAGCAGTGCTCACAGACATCCCCCCCTTCTCCTTGCCCTCAGCAGAGCCCACCCGTGACGCTGGTGCTGGGGGACGAGAGCTGCTGGCTGTCCCGACTGCCCCTCGTGCCCAGAGAGCCCGACGCCAACGCCGTGATCTACAGGAAGGGTTGGTACCGGTGCCGCGCGTCCCCATACCCAAGGCGGGGGGGTGGCCAGGGGTGGCCAGGCATGGCCACCTCGGTGCTTGGGTGAGGGGAATGGTGCTGCCGCAGAGAGCTGGGTCCCTGTCCCCCATCCATCCCAGCACCGATTGTGTCCCCAGCCAACTGCCGGTGCCTGCCCACCCCAGCCAGCACCCGTGGCCCCATCGCGTCTACCGGGGTAGCGTCTGCTCCTCCGCCTCCGTGACCCATCCCTGGGGCTTGTCCCCCGTCCCAGCCCTCTCCGGATGTGGTGGCTGCCAGGGGACAGGAGGAGGGTGCCAGCGTGCGGTGACCGGTGCGAATAGCGGTGCGAGTGTCGGTGCAAGACTCAACGCAAGCGTTATGGCACACATGGCTGCACAACTTGGTGCAAGAATCGCCGCATGCGTTGGTGCACGGGACTCCTCTCCTTGCCCCGTGCACGACTCGGTGCAAGCCTTACCACATGCGTTGGTGCAGGACGGAGCGGGAGCGGGAGCAGGAGCAGGCAGGGCCGTGCCAGGCAGTGCTCCGGCACGGGCAGACACCGCCATCTCCAGGCAGGTCGGGGCTCAGCCATGGCCAGGGCGAAGCACCGGGCGCTGCCGGGGGAGCGGTGACAAGGGCAGAAGGGGGGCCCAGAGCCGAGCTGGCAGCAGCAGGATGGGGGTTCGGGATGGGGAGGGGTCTGTGCTGTCCCCTGCCCACCCTCCACCCCCCCATCCCCAGATGAAGCCCTGTGGTGCCGGACGACGCGCGCCCTGCAGGAGGACGAGGCCGTGTGCGCCTTCGTGGTGGCGGAGCCACCGGCCGTCGCCAACCACCACGCGGTGAAAGCGGAGCCCGGCGAGTCGCCGTACCCGGCCACGCTGCACTCGGACATCCAGCTGCTGCCGCAGCAAGCCGGCATGGCCGCCATCCTGGCCACCGCCGTGGTTAACAGTGAGTCCCCGGGGACGGGGGGGCATGGAGCCGGGATCGTGCCAGGGGTCCCCAGCCCATCATGCAAGTGATGTATGTGCCGTCCTTGTCCCTTCCCCTCCGCAGAGGATGTCTTCCCGTGTAAGGACTGCGGGATCTGGTACCGGAGCGAGCGCAACCTTCAAGCCCACCTGATGTACTACTGTGCCAGCCGGCAGAGCGCCGGCTCGCCCGCCCTGGAGGAGAAACCGAAGGAAACCTACCCCAACGAGCGCGTCTGCCCCTTCCCCCAGTGCAAGAAGAGCTGCCCCAGCGCCAGCTCCCTGGAGATCCACATGCGGAGCCACAGCGGTACGGCATGGCACGGCACGGCACAGCACGCTGCTGCAGCTCGGGGACACCGAGACATGGAATCATAGGATAGTTTGGGTTGGAAGGGACCTTTAAAGGTCATCTAGTCCAACCCCCACGTAGTGACCAGGGACATATTCAACTCGATCAGGTTGCTCAGAGCCCCGTCCAACCTGAGCTTGAATATTTCCAGGGATGGGGCATCACCACCTCTCTGGGCAACCTGGGCCAGTGTTTCACCACCCTCGTAAAAAATATCTTCCCCAGATTGAGTCTAAATCTACCCTCTTTTAGATTAAAACCATTACCCCTTGTCTTATCGCAACAGGCCCTGCTAAAAAGTCTGTCCCTTATAGGCCCCCTTTAAGTACTGGAAGGGGCTACAAGGTCTCCCAGGATCCTTCTCTTCTCCAGCCTGAACAACCCCAGCTTTCTCAGCCTGTCCTCATAGGAGAAGTGTTCCCTCCTTCTGATAATTTTTTTTGGCCCTCCTCTGGACCTGCACCAACAGGTCCATGTCTTTCCTGTGCTCAGGGCTCCAGAGCTGGACACAGTACTCCAATTTGGGTCTCACCACAGCAGAGTAGAGGGGCAGAATCCCCTCCCTCGACCTGCTGGCCACGCTTCTGTTGACGCAGCCCAGGATACAGTTGGCTTTCTGGGCTGCACATGCACGTTGCCAGCTCATGTCCAGCTTTTCATCCACCAGTAGCCCCAAGTCCTTCTCAGCAGGGCTGCTCTCCATCCCTTCGTCCCTCAGCCTGTATTGATACCGGGGGTTGCCCTGACCCAGGTGCAGGACCCTGCACTTGGCCTTGTTGAACCTCATGAGGTTCACACGGGCCCATTTCTCGAGCTTTTCCAGGTCCCTCTGGATGGCATCCCTTCCCTCAGCTTGGTGTCATCTGCAAACTTGCTGAGGGGGCACTCGATCCCACTGTCGGTGTCATTGATGAAGATACTAAACACTACTGGTTCCAATATGGACCCCTGAGGAACACCACGTCACCAATCTCCATCTGGACATTGAGCCATTGACCACCACCTTCTGGATGTAACCATCCAGCCAATTCCTCATCCACCAAACAATCCACCCATCAAATCCATATCCCGCCAATTGAGAGAGAAGGATGTCGAGGGGGACTGTGTCAAAGGCCTTACAAAAGTCCAGACAGATGATATCTGTAGCTCTTCCCTTGCCCACTGATTTTATTTCATCACACAAGGCCACTACGTTGGTCGGGCCGGACTTGCCCTTGGTGAAGCCACACTGGCTGTCTTGAATCACATCCCTGTCCTCCATGATCCATGTGCAAGGACCCCAGGAGCCAGCTGAGTGGAGCGGAAGAGAGGTTGCGGTGCTGCAGCACGGTGACCAGTTAGATGAGGTTCTCCACTGGTTGGGTTACTGGTTTTGGGCTACTCACTTGTAGCCTTCTCAGCCCTGTAAAGATGGAGGGAGCATCCTGCATCCCACAGCCAGCAGCCTCCTGGCTGGCACAACTGGCCCTGTGGGGTGTCCCCGCCGTCCCCATCACCCCACCCTCAGCACTGAGGTGTCCACCTGTCTGTCCATCCTGCAGGAGAGCGGCCGTTCGTCTGCCTGATCTGCCTGTCTGCCTTCACCACAAAAGCCAACTGCGAGCGTCACCTGAAGGTGCACACCGACACCCTGAATGGTGAGTGAGTGCTGCCCAGTGTCCGTGGGGGACAACCCTGTCCCCTCCAGCACAGCCTGGGGATGGGGACCTGCTCCCCACGGGTCTCCCCCTGCCCTGCCGGATGCCCTCCTGCCTGCTCAGCCTCACGCCATGTTCCCCGCAGGCATGTGCCACAGCTGCGGCTTCATCTCCACCACAAGGGACATCCTCTACAGCCACCTGGTCACCAACCACATGATCTGCCAGCCAGGCTCCAAGGGAGAGGTGTACTCACCGGGGCCAGCCCTGCCCACCGCCAAACCCCTCACCTCTGGTGGGTACCATGGGCTGTGGCTTGGGGGGGGAACGTGTGCCAGCACCCTGCGCAGAGCCCCAAACAGCTCCAACTGCAAGGAGGGAGGTGGGCCACTGGGCGAGCATCCCTGTGAACATTTCCTGTTCAATATATTCATCAATGACCTGGATGAAGGGATAGAGTGTACCATCAGCAAGTTTGCCGATGACACAAAACTGGGAGGGGGGGCTGACACGCTGGAAGGCTGTGCCGCCATACAGCGTGACCTGGACAGGCTGGAGAGTTGGGTGGAGAGGAATCTAATGAAATTCAACAAGGGCAAGTGTAGGGTACTACATCTGGGGAGGAATAACCCCGCGCATCAGTACAGGTTGGGGGCTGACCTCCTGGAGAGCAGCTCTGTGGAAAGGGACCTGGGAGTCCTGGTGGACAACAGGATGACCATGAGCCAGCAATGTGCTCTGGTGGCCAAGAAGGCCAATGACATCCTGGGGTGCGTCAAGAAGAGTGTGGCCAGCAGGTGGAGGGAGGTCATCCTCCCTCTCTACTTTGCACTAATGAGGCCACATCTGGAGTATTGTGTCCAGTTCTGGGCTCCCCAGCCCAAGAAGGACAGGGAACTGCTGGAGGGGGTCCAGTGAAGGGCTACTAAGATGATTAGAGGATTGGAGCATCTTTCTTATGAGGAAAGGCTGAGGGATTTGGGTCATTTTAGTCCAGAGAAAAGAAGACTGAGGGGGATCTTATCAATACTTATAAATACTTAAAGGGAGGGTGCCAGGTAGATGAGAACAGTCTTTTTTCAGTGGTGCGCAGTGATAGAACAAGAGGTAATGGGCACAAACTTGAACATAGGAAGTTCCATCTTAACATGAGGAGGAACTTCTTTACTTAAAGGGTGGCAGAGCACTGGAACAGGCTGCCCAGAGAGGTGGTGGAGTCTCCCACACTGGAGACATTCAAAACCCGCCTGGACACCATCCTGTGCAACTGCTGTAGGTGACCCTGCTCAGGCAGAGGGGTTGGACTAGATGATCTCCAGAGGTCCCTTCC